GGGTGTGAGAGAGAGCGGGGCAGAGAGAGGTGTCTGGAGACGTGATGGTGGAGCATCAGGCAGAGACCTGAATGAGAGTTGAGAGTGTGTCCAGTTGGTTTACATCACCACAGTGTGACCTTTGACACCTACAGGTGGTTCCAGGAGTCTGGACACACAACCCCAAAATTCACACCCTACACCACACACACACACACACACGCACACACGCACACACGCACAGAGACACACACACAGACACACAGACACACAGACACACACACACACACACACACAATTCTGAATTCTATATTGTCATGGACTTAATCGACCTGTCTTGACATTTTTGATTTGTTGATTTTGTACTGTGTGAAGTAATTACATTGATTAGAATTAGATATGATAAAAAACACAAATTAGAGTAAACTGAATCATTGCGCTTGCTTTTGTCTGAGGGACATTAGCAACAGCATGAATAGAAATTGAGGGGCGACATTAGCTCAGTTGGTAGAGCATTGGCCTTAAGGCCAGAAGGTTGTGGGTTCAATTCCCACCTCTGCACCTTCTCCATCGACTCCCACTGATGACTGCTGTCGTTGTGTCCTTGGGCAAGACACTTAACCCCACTTTGCCCAAAGCCCCCACTGAAAGATCAAGGCTATGCTCACAGTCAGAGAGCAGCCGTCCTCCTGTGGACTCACCACCTGCAGAGGGTCAGTGAGGGGCTGGTGCTATGAGACTTGGGTGGTCTCTCTGACTGCCACCCCCCTGACCCAGAAATGGATTAAAGGGTAGAAAATGGATGGATGAATAGAAATTGTCTTTAAAGTAGAATCAAAGTAACTTAACCATAGAAAGTAACTACTGCATAACAAGCTGTGTACAGGAACTGAGACACTGCACCATTGACCAGAAGTGCATCTCAAATGACCTGATGTGCTTCAAGTGACCTGATGCATCTGGAGATCCTGAGTCCATCTGGAGAGACCAAAACCATGGCTTGGACCCTACTGATGTCCAAGATGACATCTCTCTATGACCTGAGACTCACCCTGAGGACTTGAGGACCTGAGGACCCTGAGATTAAAATCATACATTGATGAGTGCTAAATGAGAGAGATTCTCATGATTCTTTCTTTTGTTTTTGTTTGTCTCTAGCTTCTGGACATCTGATGATCTATTGGACACAGACATTTGCAGAACAAGAACCAGCCAATGAAAACCATCTATTGCCGATGCTATTGCTACAACCAGAACCACAACTGTGACAAATGCAACACATGTAAAGTATTCAGACATCTGACAGACACAAACTTTGACTTTTTAGTCTGGGAGACTGAGCAACTGTTAAAATGTGTTAAAATGATAAAGTATGAGTATTGTAGCGTTTTAGTAGATGTTAAATAGTAGTAAAAAAGTAGAATTTGATCATTGTTCATAAACACACTTCAACGTAAGAGTTAAAATAGTACCATACATTGTGATCCTTCTGATAGAGCAGCTAAATTGTTAGAATCTGAATTATTTTACAGCCATTGAAAGTGACAGAAGTCACAAATTAGAAATATGCCTTGGCTCAAGATGCAACCGAGCTTTAAGGCGCTTGCACACTGGGTCCGTTTTTTGTCCGTTTTTTTCGTGCGAAATTGTCGCACGAAAAAAAAAAAAAAACGAACCCACGCTATGTCAATTACGCTTGCACACCGACTCCGAAATATTCGTCCGACATTCAATTTTTCGGAACAGCTTCGTTTTTTTACGAATTTTTACCAGCAAAAGCCACTTTATGATAAAGAAAGCAGTGATTATAAAGATGCTGAGCTAAAGGACAAAATATGGCAGGAGATCGCGGAGCAGCTTGGACTCGGGGACGGTATGTATTGGTTTATAGGCAGCTAAAAACAGCTATTATCATGTTAGCGCTAGCGTGGAAAACTAGCAGCCGGTAGCCAAGCTAGCCAGCGAATGAATGATTACATTAGGTACTTCAAGGCTTTAGTGGTGAATATAGAGATTCATGGAGGTATATTCTGTGTTGTCCCCCCTCACTGATTAATGAGGGGCTGGGTTTCACTTGGCTAAAAGGTCAGTGGGCCCGACGGGTCACGTAAGTGGCTTATAAAGCAAAGCAAACTCATTGCAAAGTTCACCCATCTCTTGGAAATGAGTTTACTCACGTACTATCAATAAAAAGAATAATAACGTAGGCCACCTACGTGCCTACTTTTAACATGTGTGCTTTGTGCTGTATTATTAGTTTATATTAGTTTGCCCTGTGCTAATGTTATCCATTGACTATAATAATTGTACGCTGTGATTAAACATGGTTGCTGGCTGACTACAATACTATAACTTCTTTACATAATTCTAAATTCTGTCCAGGATATCAAAATATTCATTAATAATAAATATATCTTATAATTCACTTCATGCATTGATTAGAGTGATACCATAGACCACACATACATTGCTACTTTTAACAAATGTGTCTTGTTTTGTATTAGTCAAAGCAGTGAAGAAAATGTGGCGGAACCTGCAAGATACCTACGTCCGCAACAAAAGAGATGGACAGGGCAGGAGTGGACAAGCTGCCATTAAGAAGAAGAAGTGGAAGTATATGGACGTAATGGCTTTCCTTCAATCTTCCACAACAAAGAGAAGGTATCATCTACTGTAAAATAGAATAGCAAAGAGCAGTTCAATATACAGTATAATTTCATTACACAAGTTACTTTTCACCAGGTCAGATAGTAATATTGAGATGGAGGAAGAGGAGGAGGAAGAAATTGAGGGAGAGGTCAGCACTGAAATAGTGAGGGCCAGCGATGAAGAGGGAGTTCCAGAGATGGAGAACAGCTCAGGCTCAGCTTCTTCCAGTAGCAGCGGTGCCAAGCGCAAGAAGAGAGTAGATAGTGAAGACAGCATTGGGAGGTACCTTCAGTGGAAAGAAGAGAGAGAGAAAGTGAGAGAAGAGGAGAGGGAGAGAGAGCGGCAGCATCGCCAGAGGTTGGAAGAGCAGCAGACAGATGAGGTGGCCTGTTTTCTCTCTAGCTTGGCTCCTGCTTTGAGGAGACTCACCCCACAAAAACTCTCCTATCTCAAGATCAGAATGCAGGAACTTGTACATAACGTTGCCTTTGATACCCTCTATCAGCAGGAACCAAACTTCTTTCACCTGTGATTTTTTTAATGGTTTAATTATTTATTGTAATGACTGTATATATTTATGTAAATAATAATATTTGCACCAGTTCTTCTGATTCTCCTGCAGGGGGGTGAGTCCACAGGGGGATGGCGTCTTCTGTCCATGGTAATGTGATAGTAAAGAATTATTTATTGATTACTGTATTTTATGTATTTATGAATGTTGTTTCACGATTGTACTGTTTTAAATGAATGCAAATTAAAAGAGAAACAAATTGATTTGTTTTGTTCTTTTTATTTTAAATGTATAATAATGCTGATCTAGTTTTAATTACTGTTCTATAATGGATTTCCATGGAGTCCACGGCGCACACGGCTATACTGCCATGGTAGCTCGCCAGCAGGTGAGGTGAAATACTTTTTAAGGGTGTCACGAATGCCCAGAGCCTCTGCAGATGCCCGGTTTCCCCTTGGCCTCTGGAGGTCCAGCAGACAGGGGTTGTTGTTCCCTGCAGTTGCAGAGTTGTCTTCCTCACTGCCGCCCTGATGCTCCTCCTGGAGGGCTTGGTCCAATGCTCCGTGGCGCAGGTAGTTGTGCAACACACAGGTTGCTTTCACCACACTGTCCACCAGGTCAGGGTTCACCTCCATCGGTTTTTTATAAACCCTGAAGCGCTGGACCATGATCCCAAACACATTCTCTGAGATCCGGCGCGCTCTGGACAAGCGGAGGTTGAAGATGCGTTGGATCCGCTGGAGGAGGAACATGCAGTGTCCCACGCTGCAGGGCTCGTCCCAGAGCAGAGTCTGCAAATATGCCTCTATCACTGTTCCCACCATAGCTCCCCACATCAATGGCGAGGAAACGGTAATCCGCGTCCACTAACGCCAGGAGGACTATGGAGAAGGTCCCTTTGTAATTATAGAAGAGGGAGCCTGAGTTTGCAGGGGCCTCAATCTGCACATGCTTCCCATCCAAGGCACCAAAGCAATTGGGAAAGTTCCATTTTTCATTGAACCTACAAAAAAATAAGTGTTTATTAATTAATTGATTAGTCCTGAGGGCATGAGTTAAGAGGATACTAAAATTAAACAAAATAAAAACACTAAACATTCTTAATTATGAACAATCCAATGCTCAAAGTAAAATAAGAATAGACTACCTCTTTGCTGTGGTCTTCCAGGTGTCTGCTGTTGGTGTGGGCAGGTAGACTGGCTGGAATTGCCTCCAGATTTGGTCACAGGTCTCCCTCACTATCTTCCCCACAGTGGTGATGCCTGTAGCTATTGGCGATGGTGGTAAAAGAGTCGCCTGTGCAGAGATATCTAAAATCAAAGTGTATAAAGAAAGTTATAGTTAGTGAATTTTCTAATAAAACAAAGATGTGTATGTTTGCAGCAGGGAATACATTGGATTATGGATTATTTTAATGTTATTTAAAGCAAGATCTACACTTGGCCTTGCCTCAGTGAGAACAGTGTGATTTATTTATCTGATGTATTTGTTTTATCTGTGGGCCCTATAGTATAAAGTCCGTGTGTGTGTCTGTGTGTGCTTGTCCGTGTGTGTTCGTATGTCCGTGTGTGTGTTCGTGTGTCCACGTGTGTGTGTGTGTGTCTATGTGTGCATGTCCATGTGTGTGTTTTCGTGTATCCGTGTGTGTGTGCGTGCTTACCTAAGACACACTGCAAGTCGCTGTTCAGGGCCAATCGGATCACGGAAATTTGTGGTCTTCTTTCTGATGTGCGGCGCAAGTGTTGTCAGCAGCGCATCAAACTGTGCTACAGACATTCTAAATGTACTTTTAAATCTGTCAGGATAACCACGCAGATCTGTAAGAAGGTGGTATTCTCCCCGTTCTGCCCGACTTCTGAGGATGGGGTGGACCCAGTATCGCCTTTTTCTTTTCTTTCTTTTTTCAAGCACTGAGAGCAACACAAAATCCTCCTCACTGCTTGATGACTCTTCTCTCACAGATAGCGAAATTTCGTTACGAATATAATAATAAAAACGCATCGGATGCAGTGTGCAAGGTTATTGTGCGTAACGAATTTTTTCGGATGACGCATTCAAAATACGCATCCGAAAATTTCGGACTCAGTGTGCAAGCGCCTTTAGAGTCACAATAGAGAAATAGATAAATGCATCAACCATAGATGCTTTCAAAAATAGAGATTATTTTTAGCCAGTGCTAATATCAAACGGTAAAAGGACCATTTCCTTCAAAATATGTTCAAAAGTATTTACTTCAAAAGTAGATAAAGTTCATTACAGTTCATGCACAGTTTTATTAGATACTGTCAAATTCACTTGTTTCAAACATAGGTGAATGTTGACAATGCAAAAAGTTCATGAGTGTAGCCTAGACTAATGAGATAGATTAATGAGATAGATTAATGAGATAGATTAATGAGATAGATTAGAACCAACAGAGATTCAAAAACATTTAAAAGCATTTTAATGTATTTGGGTATAGCACAAAAGTAGATATTTAGATATTTTTGAGAATTTTAAAAGCTGTCGATTTGTCAGCACAGATTAGAGAATCGAATACCATTGTAGAGTGACTGACCCCAAAGAAACCTGCTAAAAATAGATTACCCCTTGTATGGATAATACTAATTTGATTAATGATGTACATTCATCCCAAACTGTCTGAGAGGAGGAAGTGACATCACTTCCTGGTTCAACAAATGTGTTTATAAAACTGACCATAATAATGTTCATATTAACCATTTGTCTTTCTGTGTTCAGAGTTTTATTCCTGAGAATGTAGAATAGACATAGAGCAAAATCCCACTGACAATAATCCACTGATAATGAAAGTAAACCACAGATTTATTAGATTAAAATATATGTTTAAGAATATGGCTCAGTAAAAATATGCAAATATATGTGTAAATAGATTAGAATAGTTTTAAACTATAGTGAATAGTAAAAGTAAAGTACATAGTCTAAGATTGAAAAGTGAAAACAATACAGTGAAGTGTAAACAATTAGTATTAGAATAAAAGTATAAAGTAAGAAAAGTGAAATTAGCTTCTAATTTGAGACTCAGTTCGTTTTTGTGTTTTGACTGAATCTGCGAAGTTCTACTGTGTCCAATAGTGTTTGTTTTTTATTTTTGATTTGTTTTTGTTTTTGTTTGTTTTTTGTTTATTTATTTAATTTTTTTGTTTGTTTTTCCCCAGGATAGAGGATAAAATCCACTGATATTGATTTGATGATTATGAGTTTAATGCATACATTTTCTTTGTTATTTAATAATTTGTAAACGTTTTTTTTTATTCGATTTTTTTTTTCTTTTTCCACTTTATTGATTGATCAAATTGAGTGATCACATGTGATCATGTGATCAAAGGGGTGAGTGTTAGTATTAGATAGTAATATGGCCTACGTACAGGACTCTACAAGGACTATATAAATGACTATATAAACTGTACTGCCTTTAACAATGACTATATAAACTGTGTACTGCCTTTAACAATGACTATATAAACTGTGTACTGCCTTTAACAATGACTATATAAACTGTGTACTGACTTTAACAATGACTATATAAACTGTGTACTGACTTTAACAATGACTATATAAACTGTGTACTGCCTTTAACAATGACTATATAAACTGTGTACTGACTTTAACAATGACTATATAAACTGTGTACTGACTTTAACAATGACTATATAAACTGTGTACTGCCTTTAACAATGACTATATAAACTGTGTACTGCCTTTAACAATGACTATATAAACTGTGTACTGCCTTTAACAATGACTATATAAACTGTGTACTGCCTTTAACAATGACTATATAAACTGTGTACTGCCTTTAACAATGACTATATAAACTGTGTACTGACTTTAACAATGACTATATAAACTGTGTACTGACTTTAACAATGACTATATAAACTGTGTACTGCCTTTAACAATGACTATATAAACTGTGTACTGACTTTAACAATGACTATATAAACTGTGTACTGACTTTAACAATGACTATATAAACTGTGTACTGACTTTAACAATGACTATATAAACTGTGTACTGCCTTTAACAATGACTATATAAACTGTGTACTGCCTTTAACAATGACTATATAAACTGTGTACTGCCTTTAACAATGACTATATAAACTGTGTACTAACTTTAACAATGACTATATAAACCGTGTACTGACTTTAACAATGACTATATAAACTGTGTACTAACTTTAACAATGACTATATAAACTGTGTACTGCCTTTAACAATGACTATATAAACTGTGTACTGACTTTAACAATGACTATATAAACTGTGTACTGACTTTAACAATGACTATATAAACCGTGTACTGACTTTAACAATGACTATATAAACTGTGTACTGCCTTTAACAATGACTATATAAACTGTGTACTGCCTTTAACAATGACTATATAAACTGTGTACTGCCTTTAACAATGACTATATAAACTGTGTACTGCCTTTAACAATGACTATATAAACTGTGTACTGCCTTTAACAATGACTATATAAACTGTGTACTGACTTTAACAATGACTATATAAACTGTGTACTGCCTTTAACAATGACTATATAAACTGTGTACTGCCTTTAACAATGACTATATAAACTGTGTACTGCCTTTAACAATGACTATATAAACTGTGTACTGCCTTTAACAATGACTATATAAACTGTGTACTGCCTTTAACAATGACTATATAAACTGTGTACTGACTTTAACAATGACTATATAAACTGTGTACTGACTTTAACAATGACTATATAAACTGTGTACTGACTTTAACAATGACTATATAAACTGTGTACTGCCTTTAACAATGACTATATAAACTGTGTACTGCCTTTAACAATGACTATATAAACTGTGTACTGCCTTTAACAATGACTATATAAACTGTGTACTGACTTTAACAATGACTATATAAACTGTGTACTGACTTTAACAATGACTATATAAACTGTGTACTGCCTTTAACAATGACTATATAAACTGTGTACTGCCTTTAACAATGACTATATAAACTGTGTACTGACTTTAACAATGACTATATAAACTGTGTACTGCCTTTAACAATGACTATATAAACTGTGTACTGACTTTAACAATGACTATATAAACTGTACTGACTTTAACAATGACTATATAAACTGTGTACTGACTCCATTTTGTCTGAGAGAAAGAAACAATGGAAACCACTGGAACTTGAGAGAAACTTAAATAAACTTCCAGAGTTTGGCGCACCACGATCCGTCTCTGTCTGCTTCATCCCTGACACCCCCATTGCCTAGATGGGGGTGTCAGGGAGTGTGTCTGGTGTGTGTGTGAATGGTTGGTGGTGGTCAGAGGGGCCGATGGCGCATACTGGTTGCCTCACTTCTGTCAGTGTGCCCCAGGGCAGCTGTGGCTACAGTAGTAGTTTATCACCACCGTGTGTGGAGTGAATGAATAATGACATGTGAAGCGTCTTTGAGTGTCCAAAAAAGCGCTGTATAAAACCAATGCATTATTATTATTATTATTATTATTATTATTACTACAGCAGGAGCAAAGCCATTCAGTGCCTCCGGCACAGTTTTGTCAGTGTCTGGGCACGCGCCGTCGGGCTTGGGGGCTTCGCCCAGGCATTACTCGTTGGAAAAGCAATAGGCCCTTGCCCCGGTTGGGGCTCGGGCCTAATAATAATAATACAGATCTATCGTATTAGTTCACTGAATCCAACAGTGGATGCAAAACAACTTCCTTCAGCTAAACTCAGACAAAACTGAAATGATTGTCTTTGGTCCTAGAAACAAAGAGAGAGCGTCATCAGCTGTCTCCTAGTGTAGTCGTAGCTCAGGAATCCAGGGTCAGTGAGTTAGAGCTGCGTCTCCGAGCACTGGAGTCTCGAGCTAGCGCTAGCATTAGCTACAGCCAGGCCGTATCCTCAGGGACAGCGCAGCTTTAGGGAAAGGCAGAGGAGAACTAGCGAGCCTAGCCTCCCAGCCCTAGCCTCCCAGCCCTAGCCTCCCAGCCCTAGCCTCCCAGCCCGTCCTCCGCAGCTGGGACAAGACCAGGATAGTGATGGCTTTGTGACTGTTCGGAGAGGGCCACGTGTTGTTGGTAGTTTCCCCATTGGGCCTCCTCCTGTTAGCATTTACAATCACTGGGACGCTCTGTCGGGGAAGAAGGCCCCACTGAGAGAGCCGCTGAGAGAGCCGCTGAGAGAGCTGCTGAGAGAGCTGCTGAGAGAGCTGCTGAGAGAGCTGCTGAGAGAGCTGCTGAGAGAGCCGCTGAGAGAGCCGCTGAGAGAGCCGCTGAGAGAGCTGCTGAGAGAGCCGCTGAGAGAGCTGCTGAGAGAGCTGCTGAGAGAGCCGCTGAGAGAGCCACTGAGAGAGCTGCTGAGAGAGCCACTGAGAGAGCCGCTGAGAGAGCTGCTGAGAGAGCTGCTGAGAGAGCCGCTGAGAGAGCCACTGAGAGAGCTGCTGAGAGAGCTGCTGAGAGAGCCGATGGAGTCTCTGAGAGAGCCGCTGAGAGAGCTGCTGAGAGAGCCGCTGAGAGAGCTGCTGAGAGAGCTGCTGAGAGAGTAGTAGTAGTAGTAAGTAATCTTTATTTATATACCGCCTTTTCACTGCAGATCTGAGTCTCAAAGCGGTTTACAATTGTTAATTTTGGGCATTTGTCTCTCACTCCACACAGAGATGGGAGTGGGGCCAGTACACAAGGCGCATGCCAGAACTATTGGACATATTTTTAGTGGTAGGGGAAACCGGAGTACCCGGAGGAAACCTACGCAGACAC